ATCGCAGTTTTTATCCATGGCCGTCTGGCCCCATTGCTAAGACCTGTGGTAAGGTAGAACATTATGGCGATGGGATCGGATCAGTCAGGGAGCACTGAGAAAGAACAAGCCTGTGCTTCAGGGTCTCCTCCTCCTCCTTCCACTTTTTTTTTTTTAAATTTTTATTTATTTATTTTTTTTTATTTTTTTATTTTTTAAATATAATTTTTTTATTGAAAAAAAAAAGATTTCCGCCTCCTCCCCGCCTCCCGCTCAGCCTTTTGGATGATGTCACCCATAAGCAAGTAGGTATTCTTTAGTCACTGTCCCCTAATAGCACTAATATCTGGAAACGCACACAAAGATTACCCATAAATGTGTTCTACTAATCTCCTACATGCCTGGCTAATTTGATAATAATAACTATCAGAAAAAAAAAAAGTAACTCCAGGTTATACTAACCAAAGGCAGAGATCAAGAAGTGAAAGAGGATCTTTGTGAATAGCAGATTAATGAAACTGGCCTATAAACACACACACACAAAGGCAAAGTCTTCAAAACCACACAGTGATTATTAGAAAGATAAACTCAACAACTGTTCATTGGAGAGAATTGAGGCATAAAATTCGATAGCTTGGAGCAAGGGGACCAGCAGCAAAAATGGAGACAAGAGAGTTCATTAAAACCACTGTTTTGTGTTTATTATTTTATCTTATTTATTGGTGTGTACGCGTGTACACTCCCAGGCGTGCAAACGTGGAAGCCAGAGGAAGATAAGAGATACATTCCTCTATTTTTTCCAACACATTTTTTGTTTGTTTTAAAACAGAGTATCTCAGTGAACTGAAGTTCCATGTTTTACCTATGTTTGCTGGCCAGCAAGCTCCCAGCATTTCCCTGTTTTTATCTCCTCCAGCCCCAAGGCTTCCATGTAGTCATGTCTGTTTGGGTTAGTTTTAGTTTGTTTTTGATAGAAGTGCTAAGGAATGGAACTCAAGTTCCCATGTTTTCACAAGTGCTCACACTCACTGGTCCATCTCCCCAGCCACTATGTCTGTGTTTAAAGCAAAAGACACCAAAAAGGGAGAAGAATCAACCGCACCATTAAGGGTTCATATCTGGGAAAATGAGTCGTTGATAAAATGAAGATCAGATAAATATGACTGAATTTAAACACCCTTGGGACTCAGAAACTAAGGCTGAGAATTAGTCAGGGGGCAGGGAGGGCAGGCTCAGAGCAATGAGAGGAGGTAGGAAATGATTTCTGGCCAGATGACAAGTCACACGACAAGACAGGATAAATATACAATGGACTGGAGAAGATGGAAGAGAACTGTGAAAAAGAGGACCGGGAAAGCCTAATTGCATACCACGCACTGGAGCAAAATGGAGGAAGAGAAGGCTCCACCTTTCTTCTTTCATCTGGCAAACTGACACAGGTCACAGTTCAAATGTCAGGTTACCACTGGAGAGATGGCTCCACTGATAAAATGTTTGCTGGCCAAGCATGAAGACCAGAGTTTGGACCCCAGAAGGCATGTGAAAGGCCGGGCTTAGTAGTGCATGCATGTGATCCTGGCGCTGGGGAGGAAGAGGTCAGTCAGCCTAGCCTGATGACCAAGCCCCATGGTCCAGTAAGAAGCCCTGTGTCTAAAGCAACAGCTGCTCAAGGAACAAATCTGAGGTGGATCTATAGGCACACCTGCACAAGTGTACATACACCCACCTACACGAACATAAATGTGCGCACGCACACACATACACACACAACACGGTGAAATGTCAAGTCTGTTCCCACACTGCTAGTGTCCTTCAGAAGTAGGCACAGTTTGTTCTTGTCATTTGCTACTGCACGTCTTTCCCCCGTCACTCTGAGCGTAAGTCAGAGTACTGCAAGGTAAGCGTGGGCATGCACATATGCACATACAGGTATGAGTATATATAATTTCACACAACCAGTGTGTACGGGTGTGTGTGTACTTGTGAGTGTGCAGAGTTAATGTTGCCAATATGTTCTGTGCTCTGAGTGAGAAACACTGAATCAGAAACCACTATTTAGTATTTCCCTCCCTCTGTAGTATAAAAAAACACAATAAACAAAAACAAAACTCACCACCACTACCAACAAAAGGAGTCTTACAGGAAAATAATTACTTTGGAATTATATTGAGTCAATACAGAACTTAAGCATTATGGGCCACATGACCCATAGAATTTACATCTCATTTCTCTTGAGAGATTTGGTGCATTCTCACCAGCTCCCCAGTGCTACCTTCTACTAACAGAGAGAAAACCGGACCTCTCCCACATGCTATAACAGAACTGCCTGCCCGGCTGGGAAATCAACTGTATATAGGAAGTGTACATTAGGTTAGCTGTATACTCAGATGAGGCCGACTTCCTATAAATATACTCATGGATCGGGAGTCAGGAGAGAAAACAGCATGAAGCTCATGCACTAGTCTAGTTTCCCTTAAAAAAATTTTATGAAGCTGTGAAAACTACTCAGTGCTCCCTTTCTGTAGCAAGTTAGAAGTCTAAGAATCTCTAGGAAAATAATCAAGGTAGTCACACTATAACAAGTCTTTTACGTCAAAGCTATTTCATTCTTATTTGAATTCATGATGGGAGAAGTTACAGGCTCCTTAAAGTAGAAAGTTGAGGTAGCCCAAACAGACACGACCACCTGGGAGACAGAGCTCAGAATGCTGGACGTGCTGATGGCCCAGAGTCAGTCTGGGAACCTTAAGAACTGTTGGGATTAATGTGGCCTTATCCACCCCACCTGTACTTTCCTTAGAGGGGATTTATCCTGAGAGTCCCTAGCTTCCCGGCTCACTCTGCCCAGAGTGCTCCCTGGAGTTACAATAGTGACTTTTCTGATGGATAAGGAAGGATAGGACAGGAATTTGTCACGAGCAGTTTACCCCCACCCCCACGCCCTGCTCAAGACGCATTTACTTGCAAAGAATAGCATTGTTCCCAAAGTCACGCATTTCCAGAAGCAGGTGCTCAGGGAAAGGCAGTGGTTTCCAGCAAAGCTTGTGATGAATTATTAATTTGACTGTACAATATATTATTGGGAGAACAAAGCTCTAAGAATAAGCAAGACATCTCTGAAGAGGAAAACAACAACAAAGAAAGAAAAACATGTTCTACAGAGTATGAACACTGATTGTAAGCTATAGTAATAAAAACAGCGTAGTCAGTACTGCAAAAGAGATATACAGAAATACAATAAAATAAGGAGAAAAACAAACAACAGCAATAAAACCAGAGTTCACACACACACTCATTGAAAACAATGTTTTCTGGTGGATTTTTGTTTTTGTTTTTTTTGCTGTCTAAGTAAAATCAACTATGAGCAAATTACTAACTTCTATGACTGTGGTCAAGCATTAACTTTTGAAGGAAAGTCTAAATGATGGTATAAAGACTTTCTTGAGATCATAAAAGCACAAACCATGATAGGAGACATGGTAAGAGGACAACATAAAAGTTAAAATACGTTACAAAAATGAATACGTTTAACGTATTCATAAAAATACGTTAAAGAAAATTAAAATGCAAGGTACAGAGTGAAAGAAGCATTTAATGACTGATAAATTTTCAAGTGTACAAAGATCTTTTGCAGTTTAAAATGACAAACACCACAATGGAGAAATTGAAAAACCACCCTACACACACACACACACACACACACACACACGCGCGCGCGCGCGCGCACACCAAAAACCCTAAAAAAAAGTTTTGAACATGCCTTTCACAAAAGAAGACAGACATACATTTGAACTCATACAGCTAAGAGTACATTCCTCCCCCATGAATTCATCAACTTTTCTATTTGAAAAGAGTGTTTTGTTTTAAGACAGGATATGGCTATGTTGTTCCTGAGCTCATAAAATTTTCCTGCCTCCACCTCCCCCAAAATGGATTTATGGTGCAAGCCATTATGCTTACTTCAATAGAAAACAGTTTAAAATAGCACGTGAAACTACATAATCTTATACACTGTGTGCATAAGCTAAGCAACTCCAGTCTTAGGTATACAGTCAGAAGGAAAACTATATTTAAGTATATAGATGATATGAGTAACATGTTCATAGCACTGAGATGTTTAATGTAGGGAAAATTCTAACAACCAAAATGCCTATTGCTAAAATAAAGAACAGACTTTAACTTATATAAATCATTGTACTACACATTTAAGTATAAAAATGATCTCTGATTGTTTACAAATGTTGTATCACCTTACAAAAATAAAACAAGACTAATGATAATATTGTTTAAGCATACTTATAGATGACTACTGGAGAGAGAAAAAGCAACTGTGATTTTATTAAAATAAATGTTTTCCTGTGAAAATGACTGTTGATAACAGGAACTAAGGCTATAGCCCAGACCACTTCAATATCTATGGAAATAAGTCTACTTGTTCAATTTTCTCAAATAAGCCAGGGGAGTGTCTGTCATCTCCTCAGGAAGCTGAAGCAGGGGGAATGCTTGAACACAGGAGCTCAAGGGTGCATGTGATATTTCCAGATCCACTGTACTACAAATGGGGGAGAAGAGAGAAGAGAAAAAAAGGAGGAAGGTCCCTAAACAAGAAAAAGGCATTATCTAATTTAAGCTATTTTTGTGAGTAAAAGACAAGGAGAAAAATATACCTATGTAGTATTATGTTGTGGCTTAAAATATGTTAAACTTCAAAGGTGTATCAAGGGACCCTAACTGGTGACCATGAAAGTTACTGGAGAATTATTCCAAAGAATCCTAATTAAAGATTATCTTTCCAGAGAAACTGAATAGTCATACATCCTGACATTTTCCATACTGTCACAAGGGTTTGGGGACAACATCAAGCCTCAAGTTCAGAATTCTTCAACAAAGAGAATGCTACACCCCATATAAACCTGTCATAGCTTAAGATACAGAGATGTCTGGGCCTGGGGAGGACGTTTTTTTTTTTTCAATACAAGTCTTTTATTGTCCCAAAAGACACCCCCAAATTGTATTAAAATTCAGGATCTTGTTTCTGTAACTGGTAACTTAGGTCTACTCATCAGCCTGCTGCACGGTTCCCTTTTCAGACACATAGATACCATCCAAAAACTTCCTGATATCCTTGTTCTTAACTGTTGTAGCCTGCTGTATCAGAGCCGCCGAGTTTGAAACAAGTTCAATGTCATTCCCTTCAAGGATTAATTCATCCTTCTGGGCTTGAGAGACAGAACAAGCAACGCCTGTCCTCATCCGAACCCTGCGGATGTATTTTTCACCCAAGAAATTTCGGGTTTCAACCAAAGACCCATTCTCCTGAATAACGACTTTGATGGGGAAGTGAGCATACACGGACCTCATCTTGTAGCGGAAGCCCAGCGTAACACCCTTGATCATGTTTTGAACGTGGCTGCAGATGGTTCTGACGGTGGCCAGTTCCTTAACCAGGGTTAAGACTGCCAGCTGGAGAGTCTGGGTTTGACTCCCAGCCCTCACATCAGGCAGATCATAACTGTCTGCAACTCCACTCACAGGGCATCGCACTCATCTGGATCTGGCACCTTTGGATTAGACACATCTGGATCCGAAACCTCTGGGTCCGACACCTCTGGGTATGACACATCTGGATCTAACACCTCTGGATCCGACACCTCTGGACCTGACACCTCTGGATCCGATACCTCGGTCTACAACAGGCATAAATGTTCATGTGCATACACCCAAGGGCAGACATGCACAATATGTAATTAAAATTAATAAAAATAAATTAAAAGGGAGATGAACATATAAGTAGATAATTAGGGATATAATTAAGCTATTAAGCTGAAGACAATCAAATGGTGAGAGGCTTGCTTGGGAGGGTGCTGTTGAGCCAGATGGGAAATTCTTTACAGAAAGCATTTAAGACTTGAGTGTTATATGAGTAGAAGACAGGTGGATGACAGAAGACAGGAGAGGTTTGAATAGGAAGATTCCATGAAGAAAATTATGTAGACAATTATGCAAACAAAAAGAATGAAAAACAAACATATTTAGGTACTTAACAGGAAAGAAAGAAAAAAGGTTGAGAAAGGAAGCCATGGAGCATGAGAGTTATTTAATGACGGTCACAGAAACCACTCAAAGAAACATCTATGACAAACTTTACGTCAAAGGCACAAAGGACTCGTTGACACACCAAAGCACCAGAGTAAAGAACATGACTTCTGTCTTATTTGTAAAGATCCTTCTCACAGCAGAGAGGATTGGAAAGTGGTATGTCTCCATTGTTAACAGTGAGTACCAAAGTTGTCGATGTGGATGGACTGCAAGAGTGGACAGTAAGATTTAAGAGAGATGACTGACTAGATTGTTAACTGGATTTGGGAGCAGTGAGGAAGCAGCAATAGGCCACAGACAATTCTTAGGTTTCTAACTTGAACATATGGTGAATGAAAATATGTACCACAGGTCAAGGACATACGTCAAGGAAGTTGTTCAGGTATTAGAATTGATTAAACTTTGAAATGTTACATATTAAGATAATCTGTTTATAAATGACCAATAAGCAACTGGCCATCCCACAAATAGTTTCCATTTTCTCTGGACTGTAAAGGGATTCACTGCCATGGGTAGCAAATGACGACCATCCTCTTCATATGACTTTTACTAAGAAAATAAGAAAGAAAACAAACAAGTGTAGATCATTATAGATTTTGGAAACAAAGTAAGATGTGGTATAGAAAGTGACTTCAGTGAAGGGTTCACTTCTGATTGGACCACTTGGGAAAATCACTGGTGAGACCTAAGGCATCAGCTGGACTTCGGAAGTTTGGGGAAAGAGAAAAACTATATGCCAATTTCCCCAACAACCCTGAATTGTTCATAAACAAATAAGCGCTAAAGTAGTTGGCGTAAGAGAATTAAGATAGCAGTGAGCAGACCTTGTGAGAAGAGTAAGGAATCTGAATCTAAGACTCCAACGGGACAGTCATTGGAACTGAAACAAGAGTGGCATGATATGCCAGGCATTTAAAAAAAAAAAAATCACTCGGTGTAGAAGATGGTTCACTGGGAGACATGAGCAGAAATTAGGACGAGAAAACTGAAGTCGTTAGAAATGGAAGTGGTGTTAGGTAAGCTGATAACAACGGATTTAAAGAGAAACGGAAAAGAGGGCTTGGAAATTACTTTCAAAGCAGGAAAAGACAATAGGGGTTGATAACCAAGAGCTATGCTGGATATTCATTGCTAAGTGGTTGAAGATGAGGACATTTAAAAAGTACCCCAGACCAAATCCCTCAGAATGATGACTTTTAAGAAATAAGGACCTGAGGTTTGAAAGATGCTCAGTGGTTAAAGGCTTATTCTCTTCTTCAGAGGATCCACACCCACTTGTGACTTCAGCTCCAGGGCAAAAGATGTCTTCTTTTAGCCTCTGGGGGCAGAGGTGCTCAAATGTGCTTATCCACCTCTACCCATAAACCCTCCATTTCCACACACAAGCACATAATTTTTAAAATTAAAGTTCAATTAAAAATAAGAAATAATATAAAAAGAGAAGGCTCTAAAAGGAATAGAGAAGGACACGAAAATCATAATAACCATGTCCTGGGAATAAAGGAAATTCTCTCAGAAAGCAGTCAATGGGGTCAAGAATAAGAAATTCCTATCTGTCCACTAAGCTGAATAATGCTAAACTTAGTGCCCCAGTGATCAGGTTAAAGGTTTGTATACTGGAATGTTGGGCAGAAGGTCAGGTCACAGAGCGTTTGAAGGAATGGATAACTAATGAGGAAGCATATGTCTGGTTGGGAAAGAAAAGAATTTCTTAAAAAGGATACACTGTACTTGGAAAAAGTGAGAAGGGGAGGATGGGGGGAACTTGGGGAAACAGGATGATTGGGATAAAGGAAGGTTGGATAGGGGAGCAGGGAAGCACATATCTTAGTTAAGGGAGCCACCTTAGGGTTGGCAAGAGACTTGAACCTAGAGTGGCTACCAGGTGCCCAAGGCAATGTCCTCAGTTAGTTCCTTGGGCAGCTGAGGACAGGGAACCTGAAATGACCCTATCCTATAGCAATACTGACGAATATCTTTCATATCACCATAGAACCTTCATCTGGTGATGGATGGAGATAGAGACCCACAGTGGAGCACTGGACTGAGCTCCCAAGGTCCCAATGAGGAGCAGAAGGAGGGAGAACATGAGCAAGGAAGTCAGGACCACGAGGGGTGCACCCACCCACTGAGACAGTGGGGCTGATCTATTGGGAGCTCACCAAGGCCAGCTGGACTGTGACTGAAAAAGCATGGGATAAAACCGGACTCTCTGAAAATGTAGAACAATGAGGGCTGATGAGAAGCCAAGGACAATGGCACAGGGTTTTGATCCTACTTCATGTTCTGGCTTTGTGGGAGCCTAGCCAGTTTGGATGTTCACCTTCCTAGATGTGGACGGAGGGGGGAGGACCTTGGACTTTCCACAGGGCAGGGAACCCTGACTGCTCTTTGGACTGGAGAGGGAGGGGGAGAGGAGTGGGAGGAGGGGGGGAAGGGCGGGAGGAGGGGGAGGGAAATGGGAGGCTGGGAGGAGGCAGAAACTTTTTTTTCTCAATAAAAAAATTTTTAAAAAAAGAACAAAAAAAACTTGGAAAAGAGATATGAGACAAAGCTAGGAAACAAGCAAGATAAAAAAAAGAGAATATTTAATTATCCAGCAACCAATAGGAAACATGAAGATAACATTTGAGGAATGTTAGTGTACACAACTTATTTTGCAGGTCAATACCAATCACTTCATATCTATTTGTGTGCCATATTCTCTTCAGCTTTTCAGACAGTACCTGGAACAAACTAGATTTTAGAAAGTATGTAGGAAAAGAGCAGTAAAAATGCAACAATTACTGCCCTTTATTAACATGAGTTATTACAAAGTCAGTTTGGATAAGTCTACGAAAAGTAAAACAGAAGATGACAAAAAAACGTTTTAACAGTAAACACTAGAAGCTACTTATATTGGGTACTGTATAGCCAGGTTGCTCAATATACACTTAACTAAAGTAGGTAGAAATCTTGCTAGTAATGGTATTATTATGTTCATATTCTGTCAGTGGACATTCAAAAATGCTGAGAAAAACTATATCCCACTTCTTCATCCTGTTTGGTCTTCACACTAATCTATGTCAGTTCAGCTAGCCCAGCCAGTTCACACAGTACAGGGACGTATGAGTCCCTGGATTGTATACCCCCTTTCTGCTTAAAACAGGCCAAACAGTCTGAATGAAAACCTAAGAAATTCTTTCAGAAATAAAGAGGTAAAAGGCAGAGGTTTAATGACATGTTCCTATGTTGACTGCGTTTTGATTTCTTTAGAATGAATTCAGACAAGCCCAGAGTTTTCTTCTGTATATAATCATCATAGCACAGCTTTTAAAATGCCCTTGTTTCTGTACATAATTCTGTGTTATAACATGAAATTATTAAATAATCTCAGCATATTGTCTGAATAAAACCAGACCTTTTTTCCTCTACTTATTTATTGTTATCTCAGTCCTAGACTAGTCACATGCCAATCTTTAATGTCTTTAATTTTTACAAACAAACAAAACTGTTCACTTGAATATTACTACCTTTGTTGGATGAATTTAATCTCAAATTTTCATTTTTCAAATAAAAAATCAAAATCCTCAATATGTAAAGTAGTCCTCTAGTTAATTTTTCACCGTGTTTCTCCTGAGTGCACTCAAAATAATTTGATAATATGGCATTTTAATACACTCATCAAAATTAGAGGCTATACAACTTGATTCAAATTTTATAATAGCAAGTGTTAAACAGATTCAGCTTGTGACATTTTTACTTAAATCTGTTGGTGATTAGAGCTGATGAGAAACATTAATAAATCCAGTAACATTTTCTACACAGCTATTTTGAAATGTCAGTTATTACTAATCAATGGACTTCTTTTCTGACTGATCAAATGACTCACAACACAGTTACAATCACTGATTTTTAGATCTCTTCACAGGTTATAGCCACAGAAGCCTTGATCCAAATAGTGACTAGCTCTGTGGATTCACATTTCTCCAACAGGGACAGGGGCAACTGTACTAATGGTAATAGTTCCATTTGTATTTTAAAAGCAAATGATTAAATGTGATCTCCTGTTTAGTTAACACCTTCAAATTAATTTACTTCTTAACTGCACTAACATCTGGTATTCAACCTTGTTGCTCAAATAGTATCAACTCAAGGACAAGCTGCTTGTGTTATGACAGATGTCAATTGGTTAGTGAACCACAAATTTACTCTTAGATATAAAATTCTCAGAAAGTTTGGTGAGTGCTGTGGTTAAAATCTAACAATGTGAAAAACACTGAACCCAATATTAGGAATTATAACACTGTTAAAACCCCAGTTAAAGTAGTCCCAGGAAAAATGCTATCATTTTAATTGGATATTATATGCCAATAAAAGAATTCACACAGACAAACGTGCTAAACCAATCCCCCAGAAGTGTTAGTTGAAAGGCTCCTTTCAAAAGATGGAAATTGTTACAAAGCATCAATTGCTTAAACTACAATGAGTCTTTCTGCTCAGACTGCTGCTCATATTATCCTCTTCACTCATGATTTTATGGAGAAATCATGACAAGAGTTACATAAAGAATATTTTTATTTTAGCATTTGAAGGGGCTTCAGATTTCAAAAGACCACATACATATGTGGTTGTTTTTATACAATAGCTCCTGCTGGATATGGTGGATGGTTTTTCAAGGGGTAATTAAACGCAAATTAAAAGGTTCTTTGATCTCCATATGACTGGCTGGTGAGAGACTCACACTGCAAAATGTGTAGTGACAGGGTTTGCCCTAACCCTCTAAAATGAGACCCAGCAGGAGCCCTGTCCAGCGGCTGACTCATGGGGCCCAGCACTTCCCAACAGTGGGCAAGGCTAGTTGGCTGGGAGTGGCAGATGGTCTCATTTGTTGTGTATCTTCACCCTTCACTTAAACTGAGGTGAACCCTGCCACAGGTGAGAAGAGAGCACTATGTCTGCACCTGCCACTTCTACATCAGAAAGAATCAACACTAGCTCACAAAGAATGTGGAGGGAAAAAGAATCTGTTCGGTTGGCTTCATCTCTAAACAGAGTGTTCTAAGCAGAATGGGGCCACTTCGCTTATAAATATCAATGCTTTCCAACCAGCTTTCACATCTCCTACTCCTTAAATTTCCTTAACATTAAGCTCATTAATCTTTTAAAGCATCTCGCTAAAAAGTAGTCTCAGAAAGTATAAAGCATATTTATAAATGTGTATGCTCCTCCACTCGCTTGAAGAAATGGTATGAAAAGAGTCAAGAGCAAGTATCTGAAAGCCTAATAGAATTGAAATAATAATACAGTAAATCGGCTTCTTAGTTTTATATCATGAACCAGATTTTCTTAAAAGAAAATTTAAAATTAAGACTGTTGAGGGCTTTAACAAGACCTACTTCACCGTTGTGTAACCTTCAAAAATAGAGAAACTCGAGGTTTAAATGTAAGCAAGCATGCCTATTTTCTCATAAGTATACAATGGGTATTCACCCTGATAATCAGAGTAGATACAGTCATCAGTGTTAGTTCCATATATAGTTGAAATATGGATAATTCCTGATACCCATAGACAGATAGTGCACAGCAACTGATAACACAGACAAAACAAGTTACTCCTGAAACCCTGAAGTGACTACTGCTTTTGGTTGCTAATTTCAGATAAAACCTATACTACAACTCAAATATTTCAAGAAAAATTTTAAACATCTTCATATGCATATAGCTTAGGCACAAGAGCATAAATGTAAAATCTGCTATTTTCTACCTACACTGTTCATAAAAATTAGATTTCAGTAGGGTATCTGGAGCATTTTCTAGGAATACTCTTATGAACAAAATATATCCTTGAATTGACTGCCATTACAAACAAGAGGCTTTGTGTGGACTTGACAATTCTAACAGAGATTTTGGAGTTGATGATTGAATAGAGTAGCTTCCTACCTAAGGGGGTCAGGTTTTCATTAACAGCACTGGCTTGGTGATCATATTCACAGAACTATAACAATAGGAGGAATAACTCATATACTGAACAGAAACATAAGATTTCCAATCCAAATCATGAAGAAAACCCAGTAAGTTATAAACCAAATTTGATGAATATCAAGTCCTTTTCCTAATTCAGGAACACAGGAATGAAGCACAATTTATGTAAAAAGATGCAGTTAGGTAATTGCTATAGGTTAGCTTCTTTAGGAAAGAGATTTAATACCAGAATTATAATAGCCCGGTAAAATAAGAAACAGTCCTGAGTACCTCACGCATCACTGAGTGGTAGGCTGGTTGGTACTGAAGAATATCACTGATACACAGTAGCAGTTACAAATGCAAGAGGAAGGGGTCTGGAAACTGGTCATATAGACTATCATTGAAGGACAGCAAGAAGACCTAGTGGGGAACCTCACTTTCTTTCTCTGGAGGTTCAGGACTTCTGGAAAATGAAAATTATTTGTTGAAAAAAAGGTATCAGGTTTGTCATCAAGAATTTTTATTCTTTCAAATTTAACAATACTCTGCTTTAAAATAATAAACAGTGGAAGAAATAAAAAATCAGCTACTTCCAAGCTACCATACTGACCTAAGAATAAAGCCTCATCTTTCACTGCCAATCTGGCAACTTTGCCAAAGTCACTCTTCTATATATAGGGCTGGACAATGTTTCTAAGTCAGTAAACTATTTTATGTCAAAGCTTTCCCAGGTCTTCCCACCTCTACCACAAACAAAGAGAACTTACCTATTCCATCCTTAACTGGATCTAGTGGTCTAAACTACCTTATACGCTCATGTTTGTTGTATGGGAAGGTAGATATAAAATAGTGGCCTGCGTTTAAAATTAATTATCACCTTTTTAACTACAGGAGGGCTTTACAAGAAGGACTAAAGAATGCATTACTAGAAGGGAAAGTTTATGTGGATCTAAATAGATACTCTTGAAATTTCTTTTAAGTGATAATAAGCACACTGAAAAACAAAGATGTAGGGAACACAGAGAACCCCTGGACCGGGATTAAATTCTCTTGAGTCCTTATAAATTGGATTTACTTCATGCAATTCACTAATTATTTTAAGACTATCACTAATTAAAAAAGAAAACCCAATTGATTTTCATACTATCTCAGTTAGTATTATCCTTTCTACAACGGTCCACAAGGAGAAAACATGCTTGGGTTTATGATTATCTTCACTTCAAATAATTGTTAACTTTCATTTGTGATTAAAAATTTAAATTAAGGGTACAAATCTTTATGCCTGACAACTGATTTTCATCCAAGAAATCATGCTTCAGTCGTGCAAGCAAGTATAACTACCAAGTATCAGGGAAGACTCTACAAAACACAGCATACATTTGGAAACCTGCTCCTCCACTTTAACATGCCTTGCACAGTAGAAGTATTACTCATGGCTGTGACATGAAGCCTGTGAGTTATGAGACACTGTTGTCATTCCTTTTGTGAATTATGACTTTTGGTCATATGGGTTTGATATCAATTATAAGGGTACTTCACCTAACATACAGATATATAATAGCGTGCCTCGATGAAATGCAATTCATTCTTATCTTAGAGGCATTATCACACAGCTGACAAAGGACCAAGCTTAAGTTCATCTTGAAGGTTATTCACTTACAGGGAAAGAGTATTTTTCCCTTTAAATGTTCCTCCTACATTCTTATTAAATTAAGAATGTCTGAAAAAAATTAGAAATGTCTGTGGATTACCAAACTCAACAAAGGGAGTATATATGATTAAATGTACAAGTCAATTTTGTTTATGCATTGGTGTGCTTATTGGTATAGTTTCATATTTATACAAAATAATTTTCTCTATTGAGTATCTGTGTTTATTAAACAGGAAGTCTTTTCTTTAAATTTAAAATATTTCTCATACTATATAAAAAGGTAAACTCAATTACATTAAGATGAAAAACTAAAATTTCTGTATCACACAAAAAAGAAAATATATACCACAATATTTGCATTTTTCCTATTGTATATTTTAAGAAATTAAAAACAAAGGAGAGAACTAGTTTCAGGTAAATTCCTTCCAATCAAAAGTCTACAATATAGAGATAAGCATCCTACATTCAAATCCTAATTTCACCTTTTCTACTACAAGCAACTGTTCATTTTCTTCTACTATAAAGTGAAATGACAATGAAGATGTGCCACATGAGCCGTTATAAGGGTTTTAAGAAGTCTAGGCCACAGTCTGATATATATTAGGTATTAAATAAGCACTAGTATGTTATGTTGTTATGAAGTCCCCATTTTTAAATGCATCAGTATATGTGAGTTCGCTAAGATTACATTAATTACTACATATACTGGCCTAATACCTTTTAGAAGTGTTACACCCAAATATCCTATACACGTACACTTGAAAATAACAGTGCTCTGTTTAGAAAATATCATTAAGAAAGATCTGGTGCCAAGGCAACCGTTGATTAAAGCAATTCATGATCCAGATCCTCTGCTGCTTTATGATATTTAATTCACTTAAATGTACAAATACATTCTTGGGTAAAATACATCAATATTAAGTCGATTGTTCATTTATAATAGCCTAAGATTTGTTCACTGAGAAACGGAACATGTAAATGGCATTTAATGGCCATCCTTTCTCCTGGCTCACCCTTGTCTTTGTCTCTCAGACGTTTTCTCAAGCAAGCATTCTCAGGCCACTCTTTCAGAAAAATAACCCCAAATATCTGCATGTGATGAGTTACAGGCTTCAGCAGACAACAGAAATCATGTTTTCATAATGTTCCTAAGTGGACGTACCCACTCACAGATGTACACTGGCATCTCTTCTTGAGTGTCACACATTCATCAGGCTTCCCGTAAAAGCTATGTTCTTCCTGGAGCTGTCCACTTTCTGGAGCCACACACCTCTTCCCGCTACACAAACCACCTTGCTTCTCCAGTTGGCCTCCAATCCCCAGATTAGACACTGGCTACTCTACTAACCTCTGGCTCCAAGAAAGCAACAAGAGAGTTTGTCTTTCTCCACCCAATGGTCATGTGGCAGTTACCATAGCAAAGGATGAGAGCATACACAGTGGAGGAGAAGAGACAGCAAGCAAGCAAAGACTCACAGGCTGTCATGGAAGCAGAACTGGCATCTCCACTGCCTATAAACTGAAAGGCCACTGCAGACCACGTGGCAAGAGGACGCCCACAGTAGGGGCTCCACCTTCTATCCACATTAAGTTATAATGCACATAGACTCCAATATTTCCCTGTTTTTTTTTTCAATTAAATCCTGTATATCACACGCTATTCCTAATTTTGAAAACATCTCTTCCGAGAAGAGAAGACATACCATGAATGAAGATCAACTGTGACTAGTTCAATAGAGCTATCTATATTCGTATGTGTGTCTCCAGTCTACTTCTTTACAATAGCAAAGGAGTGTCAGGAAATAGCCCATGATCCCTCACTATTTTTTTCAAACACTTTTTGAGTCATCAAATAGCAATTAAGAAAGGAGTTAGATAAAACCAACATATGCCATGAAGTAAAGGAAGAATACAGTGTCTATGAATTTATTAAATACATAGCAAATGATAAGTGCTATCTGAAATAGAGGAAGCCTACAGATTCATTAATTCAATTAGTTAGTTATTAAACAATTGATTAAGGAGATGTCACATAACTAGGCATTGAGGTCATGCCATGTAAAGCACACAGGTTAAAATTACATGCCTGTAAATGAGCCTCTTAGGAAGTGACATGCTTAAACATAAACAGTGCATATTATTCTGCAAGGGTACAGGAAACAGCGGGAGAAACTGTGGAACAGAGGGAGAAGGACTGCATGAAGACGGCCATGACTTAAAAGGAATCCGGAGCATCACCACTGTATGGGAGAGGATAGCAGCCAGGCAGAGGGACTCAGGCAAAGAATGAACTGAGGTCACTCTGGGGAAAATAAAGTCTTGCAGTAGCTGATGGCTCTGGAGATGAGGGGAATCCTTGAAGGGTCTAAAATATCTAAGAAAAGACTTTGGAATGTCTGCTATACCGAGTGGGCAGTTAGTTATTAGCAGTTAATAAGAGCTCAAAGTGATGACAGGCTACTCAAATTCTCAGAATACTGGATGACTTCTATTGGAAAAGGGCAAGAGATAGAGTCAGGAAGGTAGCTGTAGAACAGAACAATATAAATAATTAAACGAAACAAAAGAAAACAAAAGAGTTTAGGCCTAGGATGCTTCTAAGGAATGAAATATTTAGGAGAAACATTTTACATAAATTAGTACCAACTACAGTTGGGCACTGTTGGAGATGACTAATTATGCCATTAGTGATGGCATTCAATTGAACATAAGTAGAAGAGGGGGTTTGCTTTAGGAAGAAATAGCAAGCAGTTTCTTTTGGACGAGGCTTTAGGTACCGGACATGGATAAGACTAGGCATGGAGCTTGCAGGTGCAGATTTGAGCATCATTACCATACAACTGGAAGTTAAAATTTTAAAATTAAATAAGTGTCAAAAAAACAGATATATGAGAAAAGAATGTCAGCTTCACATAACAGCATACTTGCTATGCTTTTGTCAGAATTTGTCAAATACCATGTTTAGAAACACTGTTTCCTCACTAATATACAACCAAGGCTGAACATTAAAAAAAAACATACTTTTTTTTTATGCCAATACCAAGCTGTTTTCAATACTGAAGCTCTGTAATAGAGTTTGAAGTCAGGGATGGTAATGCCTCCCGAAGTTCCTTTATTGTATAAGATTGTTTTGGCAATCCTGGGTTTTTTGTTTTTCCATATAAAGTTGATTATTGTCCTCTCAAGATCTGTGAAGAATTTTGATGGGACCTTGATGGGGATTGCATTGAATCTATAAATTGCCTTTGGTAGAATTGCCAT